AATCCTAACAGAAGTATTTTAATACTTCTGTTAGCACAAGCAATTTTGTATCAACCATAATGAAAAATACTATGAACAGAGATGATAAAGACATGGTAGAGTTAATCCTACTAGCGTTTTTTTTTTAAATTAAGAATTATTACAGTAAGTACATGTGCATGTAACCAAACTATTTTATGTGATAACTTCAAGGAAATAGAAAATAATTATCGGATGTTTAAATCAAATTAAATAAAATCAATTTTACTTCTATTCCTTGAGTGTTTGTATTATTATTATGGATATTTTACACTTTTTAGCATGTGAATATCCGTTTGTATAGATTTGGTATAGATTAAATTTAAAGTTTAACTCTTAGAATATTCTAAATCATACTCTATATTTTTAATATATTAGTAATTGACAAAGTTTGACTTTATATACGAAATAAACATGTATCATAATATAATAATTTACTGAATTTTATACATAAAACGATAAAGAAGACTATAATTGTAAATAGGAAATTGGAGGTAAGACACACTTTGACATTAATACAGTAATAGTGTATTTTATTGAAATACTTTGAATAAATACTTGTTTAAAAAGTGTAAATAAGTCTTTTGCTGTATCTTTGTGTTGCTTTAAAGCACCTTATAAGTGTAAACATGACCCTTTGTTTTGAGGTTATTTTTTAAATATTTCTTATGATTCTTTACAAACCTGCATTGAATCAGCACTGATGATCTCCGTGCCAAACTTTTGTGCTAATTCAACACCTAATTTAGTTTTACCCGTACCTGTAGCACCTAAAACAATCACCATAGGAACTTTCGAAGCCATCACAACACGGAGCGCCATCACCAAGGCGAAACGCGCGAACTTCACTACTGTTATGACACTTCAAACTAATTTGTTTACTTGTCACACTTCACATCGCTTCGTCCATGCAGGAGATTATGAGAAACGTAGAGACGAAGTTGTAAATTTTCTATACCTATGACTATTTATAGAACTTTCTTGTTTACTATCAGGAAGCAGATACGTAATTAGTAGTTACATAGAAGTGTACGAGTTATAATTATTTGCAATAAATGCCACCTAAGTGAGTGGAAGCAAGTTATTTGAGCAAGAAGTAAGTTATTGCAAGTGTGTAATACACCTTCCTTAATATAATACACCTATTATTTAAGTAAATAGAAGGTGTATTATATACTTAGTATGCATTACACAACATTAGTACACTTTTCCACATCATAGCAAATCATTTATTTATGAGGAATATACCTAGGTAAGTATCTACATGGAAAAAATATAAGGTAATTTTAATTATGTAGGCGGGGCCGTGTACGTTTCTCTTTTAAATGCAAAATGCAAGAATTACGATTAAATTATATGAAAAAAAAATGACAATTGAACTATAAAAAAATAAATAGAAAACTTTCACTTAATATTAAATTTTTGCGATTTAATCGTATAAGTATATGAAAATAACAAGAAATGCCAAAATACTTTATTGTGACTTATCTACTGAAAGAATAAACTTTTTTCAGAATTTTCTATTACGCTTGAGTGCTGTATTGGGTCGGTTTTTTGTTAGTTCTTTTTCTTTAAACGCACAAATCTCTAATACCATGAGTCAGGTGATTATTTTTGTATTGGATAGACTATTCACATGTAACAACAACATGCTACACTTCTTATAAGCTAAAAAGTGATCATAATACCTATACCATAACCTTTGATAGATTTTTCTTTTAGTTTTTGGTTTTTTTAATTTAAGAGGGGCAAACTAGCTGAATGGTCACCTGATGGAAAGTGACTACGGCCGCCCATGAATGCCTGTAACTCAAGAGTCACAACCGCGTTGCCAGCCTTCGAGGAAGTAGTACCCTCTTTACTTAAAGGTTTGAAGGTCGTATCGACCAGACAATAACAGACTTATTAATTAGTAAACACTAAAGAGGAACATCACTGATTTTATTTTACATGATGTAAACGATAAACGTCGTACTTTGTATAACTTGAAAAAAAAAACGTGTCATAAGAACCGCTATGTACACACAGTAAACGATGTGCCATGTGGGTAGAACGAAGTACCTGTGCTTTTAATGAATATTACTAGAGAAATGGAAACTAATGACGGGGAATGAATTTGAAACAATTTATTTACACACACATGTAAACGGCCTCACCGGAATGACACACTTATGTGAATCTTACCAGGCATTTTGTTTACCGTGTGTACGTCAAGACCAAAGACGTGCTGGATCATTAAAGATGTACTTAAGTATATACGCGGATATGAATACCTACCGATTATTAGTGACTAACTTTTTATTTTTATTTTCTTTACTACTGTAAATAGTACTATACTATACATGTCATATACTATTTATACTATAAATTGTCTACCCGCGACCTTGAAACGACAATTGACATTTAGGACCAAATAATATGACATGTTTGGCTAGCACTGCGCGCCATTTTTCAAATATTTAAATTCTTGTACACACGTATCACAAAGATTTGGAGTAGAATCCGGTATAAGGGTAATCATATAACTATCTATGAAACTAGTACGTATACCACAAACTCAGAAATTTTAATATGTAATTTTATCCAAATAAATCTACCATAATCTAAAAGATTCAACACCGATACCCGGACACCCGGTACATCATTACTCTAGACGTGGGTTACAATGTCGAGAAGAAACTATTTAGATATTTAATTATCTAACGTTACTAAAACAAGTTGGAGGCCCTCTGACTCCTAGTTGCTTTAGTAACATTTTTAACTTTAATTATAGTACATCGTCCGTATGGTGACGACTTAAGAATACCACCCCTATTAATCCCGTGGGTCTCGTAAGTGCCGATAAGGCAGCAAACTACGCAGGACTCAGGGCAACAGCACTGCAAAAAGAGAAAGAAAACTTGAAACAACCCGTCTGGTCAGCGTTTTATAGCAGGCCAAAACCTCCTTTCCAAGGAAAGGTTTATGTCAAGCAGGGCCATTAAAGGCTGTTGATGAGTATATACCATAACCAGGCATAACCTCCAATTTAAGAAAAACTCCTAATAACTATCGCCTACAGATTTCCTTCAGAAAAATGATTTTCCCCAGTTGGTTCTAAATGGTGTCGCAGAATTGCGCTGAATCTAGTGATTGGTTATAGTGGAAACCTTTATAACATTACTACTGGATGGATAGCTTCTTAAACCAGCTAACTGAGGTTTTGAAGTTTTGAAGAAGAAACATCTAATGCGGAGGGTCAAACCGGCCGTTGGCATGTGTCGCCACGACATGTAATATATGTAACATTTGTAATCATTGAGTTAAAACAACAAGTATTATATCAATGTTTGTAATGCGGTGTAGCGACGCGTCGCCTTGTGCGAGTGTCTCTGCGAATGAATATTATACTTTTAATTGTGCTATGCGTTAGACCTATTTGAGATATTTGCACAACAACGACTTCCTCTGTCTCCTATCATAACATAGTTAGTAACTTAGGATAAGCCACGCCATAACATATTGTTTTCTAATAAAATCCTCTAAATAAATAAAGATTTAAAAAAATGAACTAAAAAATCTCGATGTTTCAAATCTGCCAGATGTCCCGCGAGGGCTCAACTTTTTTTATTTTTTAAAATACTCAGATCTAATATCTTGAGTGTATTGCGTGTAAACGTCAAAAGCGTCTTAAATTATATGTATATTTTGACTGGCTTTGTTTTAAGCGATGCGCGATGCTGCGTAAGAGGTCGTGGGTTCGATTCTCGCCCAGGACAAATATTGTGTGATGAGCCCAACCATTTGTTCTGCGTCTGGGTGTAGTTTATCTATAAAATGTATGTGTTTACATATAAGCATATTCATAAATGGTATTCTCGTAGTAAAGTATTAAATATCCAACGTTGGCTATAATGTAATTATATCGTATTGTGGCCGAAAGTTAAATCGGTATTCTGCTAGTCTTAACAATACTTTACTACGAGAATAACTTTTTTTTACGAGAGAATTGACCTTCAGACGGCCGTGTGTAAGATGTATTAAGTTATTATTAATACTACGAATTATACCGACATGTAGAGTTATATCGCAGATGCAGCAATATCGCCCGCAGGTACAACTCGCAGTTGAAACAGTGATACCAAAGACTAATCATACTATTTGAAAATAGCTGTGGGAGAGCCATGCTTCGGCACTTATCGGATCGGCTGACTGGACTAAGAGCTCGTTCCCACTCTTCCTGTGTTTAGAAAATTCGTTTGATTATAGATTCAGCATTTTCTACAGCAGTCATGTATATCAAGTTTTTGTTTTAGACCTTTTGGAACGTATTTTGTAATTCTAAAGTAAAACAAAGTGATTCGATGAGAACTTACAGATGCTTTTGAATAGATTATTCAAAAGTGTGACGTGTTTAGTTGTAGTAGTAGTCAAATGTCAGTGGGTGTACAAGGTCATCCTCATACGCTCAAGGACAATTAAGACCAAACTGCTAAGTTTTATACCCATAATTTAGCCATAATGAAAGACTGTTGTATTTATTTGAATATTCAAAATTTTCTGAAATAATATTAAGAAAAAATATTGAGTTCTTTTAATTTTGGATTAGTGTTTTGGTTTTTGATAAATAAAAACTCAGAATATATTTTTTTTTTAGTCAGACCAGATAGGGCTGTGGAACCCCAAATGTACCACACAGGTACGTAATCACAGAATCTATACTATACAAATGATTAATTTTATCCCAAAATTACAGCAAATAAGTATAAAAATCACATAATATCAGCCCGATGTTCCCAAGCTCTGTCCGTGTCTGACTTAAGCGTTTAATATGTATAGTCAATGCAATACAATGTATCAGTGTATCCATACACATAGAGGAACAAAACCAAAAAAAAATTATCTCTGTGTTACAATAGTATCCCAAAAAATCAGCCAAATAAGTACAAAGGTCCTTAGACATAAGAGCGCCGCTTCATAGATTGCAGAGGGCAATATTAATATTAGGCGGAATCTATGTTGCGCCCTGCACTCCCTGTAGCGGCGCGCGCGCAGCCAGCCGGCGCGGCGCGGCGAGCCCCGAGCGGCCCCGAAGCGCCCCGAGGCTCCCCGAGGCTCCCCGACCTACCAATCGTCCGATCAACAACAAGTACACCTCCGATTGGCGTCGCTGCCGACCTCGGCTAGATGTTACAAACGTACGGATACTATACAAAGAGTAAAAGGAAATCTTTTATATATAACACGACTTATAATTTTATAACCCGACCTTAACTATGTACAGAACCTAAACTTATAAACATAATTATTTCTTTTTCCATTTTGGCAGTGGTGGAAATGTGCCTTGTCACAATAATGGGTATATTAATAACTGTACATCTTCTACATTCTCAACACTTTTAATCACTTTCTGTCTCCCGATTTATAAAGCTGTCATTTCTTACATTTAACTACTGACTTTTTCTTATGTCTCTAATTAAACTGGTCATTATCACCAAAGCAACCGATTACATTTTGGATAACTAAAACCATTATTATCTTTATTTATTTATGTCAAGATATGAATAACAAAAAAAATGCAGGTACAACATTCGAGGATTTGTAACTCTCCAGTAAAGAAACTAAACAATTACTAGGAAAAAACTCGTTAGTAAAAAAGATTGATCAAAGTATAATAAACTTAGTATTACCATTATATCTGTATGTACAATTAAACGCCTAGTGGAAGATAAGAGATAAACATCTTTAATATCAATAACTTCTCTTGTCTGTGTATGTACACCACTCCGAAACAGCACTATCCTAATCGTAGACATTCTCCACAAAAAATATGTCTTGCAACTAATTCGAGTATAAACCTAATATATATGTACATGAACATAGCAAGGCACATTCCTCACACAATTAAAGCCTTTACATTTATAAATGCTGACCATGTGCTTGATAAAACATCAACCTTTTAAACCTGATCAGTAGAATAAAAACTGTCCACGTCATGTCACTAATTCCTTACCTATAACACCATAGACAAATAAACAACATCACTTTTTATTTTTCTGATCAAGTTCCAAATTTAAATAACACGTAACTATTGCAAGTACATTGCTAACTTACCAGCATTACTAAAAATATTATAAAGAAAAATGCTAAATTTACTATTAGTAGGTACTATGAGGAACTATGTCTTGGTTTTTATAGGTCAATTTTTCCAGACCATACGGTTTGATGTTATTATCAAATTACACAGTCTTTTTAAAGAATAAATGACTGTCAGTGAGATTATACAAATTACTTCAATTTTTTTATTTACCATAATGTCACATGAAAATGGTATGTTTTCATTTAAATCCCAACATGTAAATGAATTAAATATTGATTTCAATACATACACTAAACGACTTAACAATTATAATGTTTTATAATTATATTAAGGTACGATGATCGTGAAAGTATGAACTGTATTCAGCAACACTTTCGGCTAACAGGCGACTGGCGGCTCTTTCTGCGTCCGTGAGCATGAAAACGTTTGGTTAAAAATTAAAAAAAATACATTGTATGTAACAGGCTTTAGATATCGAAGTATATATGCTCAATATACTTCCATGCCTAGTAGTAAGTCAATTAAATACCTATTTTTACAATCGCATGTTAGCCCAAAGATGATGTCTGACGTGATAAAATTGCGATGGTACACATTTTATTCATTAAATCGTTATGAAACATTTCATACGGAAGCTGTAAGTGTATCAAACATAATTGTATTAACTAGACCGCTTCAACGGAAGTCCATAACTTATTGAACTATTTCAAAGTATCAAGAATATTGGTACCGAGTTAATTGAACATCTAACGTAAAAAACAATAAGTGGTGGAAAATTTACAAATTAACAAAAATAATCTAATGAAACAAGCACACTATCCTAAAATGCATTTTTCTTAAAGCAATTAACATAATAGTTTACTTAAAGCAATTAAAAAGTAAATAGTAATTGATGTATATCACTTCACTAACCCCGCTTGGCGCGGGATTGCGATTGAAAAAATCCTGCAAATCGGGCCGAAAACATATACTGTGGCCATACATCAGCTCTAGTCCGCTCCAAGCTTGACCACCACTGACACATCCCAACTACCTGATGTCTCTCAAACTCTAATTATATTTACATCATTGACAAACAAGTTCACGCTCCAATAAAGTGCGATGTCGCTATACTTAACTAAATGAAAGGTTCAGTAAAAAATCTTCATATCAACGTCTCGAAACAATACTTTAACAAATGTCATCTCACTTTCGATCTGTCAACATGGAGTAAATCTGTAATGTGCTATTTCAACTATGTATATTTTAATGATAAATTCAAAAAACATTTTAGAGGTATAACCAGTCTACTAAGTTTACGAAGCAGTCTGTCACTATTAAGATATTTTACTGAAGACCTAGGATTATCGGTACAACAGTTTTAGGACTTACTTTGGTACTGCATAATAATGTTTTCAGCAAAACGAACCAACCAGTTGTTTTTTATAACTGTGGTATCCTTCAGATTGCTAGAATCAGAGTAAGCCATAACGCTGATATATTTATTGAATCAAACTCCAATCTGCCGGCTCGATCTGCCGGTACGATCGAGCAATCCAGACGGCGAAAAGATATAGACGAGGGTTTCACTGCGCCATCGTCTCATGAATAAACGGTTCTAACGTTCACTAGAGCGTTCAGGAGCGACTTACATAAAAAGTTACCAGTCTATAAGTGTCCAGTCGAGTAGACTGCATAGTTCCTCGCTTGGAACAAATTGATTACCAGTCAGGTAAACCGAAGTGCTCAGTACGAAGTACGTACGGCAGCGGCGCTAGTACGGTAGCGCGAGAGCATTGTGCGAAGCTTTTTCAATTTTGTGATCAGCTGATTTTGCTTTTTTCTTAACTTCTCTCTTTCAGCTTCTTCTTGACTGAGCTTTCTGCAAAGAGAAGCGGCTTCTCTCAATATCACAACTTTTGGCGCACGCTCCTTGTCTCTTGTAGCAGGAATCTGCTTTTTGAGCTCATCGAAGAGGTTCTTAAGACCTATTCGTCGGAGTCTCTCCATGTCGTTATGTATAGAGCGGCGTTCTATCTCTGGCGATTCTGCGTCTGAGTCAGTGTCAGTGTTAGAGCGACGACCGCGGCGGCCGGGTCCACGGGGCCGGCGGCGCGATGTGCCAGCTATGTTAGGTGGTGGTACCAAACGTTTTCTGGCTATCGGCCGTGGAGACCTAGGATTTGTTATAGTCTCTACACATCGCTGTATATGTTGGCGCTCACTGGCTGAAGACGCGTTCGACAGTGATTCCGCATAGACGTGAGTTGTTTCTGTCGATGGAAGAGGTTGATGGGTGCCAAGCGAGACCACGTCGATTTCTTCTTCTGTAACAATAGAGAATTTATTTTAAAATAATGTATCATACCATTCATAACTTAAAAATTAGGTACAGTTACTAAAAAAATTAAATATCGCAGTCGCATCCATACTTAATTTTTTATAACTCTGTTACTTTCATTCATACAGTTCAGTACGCTCGCATCACCATAAAAGGTGGTCGATTGTAGAATACACATATGTATAGTATCGCGGGGGACTAGATCTAGTCGGGGAGATGCGACTGCAGTAGTCAGGTGCGCGCAAGGGGGTGGGGGAGGCGTACGACGCGGAGGGGAGGACGTCGACCCCGTCGTACTACCGCAGCGTCTGCCGCCATCGATCCAGACGCCTGACGTCACGGCGCGCCATTCGCGCCAAAACGAGAGCGCGTGCGCGTCGTGTTGCCGCAACGTCCGCACTCAATGAAGTCCAGATTACTAAGCGGTGGACACGCTTTCCGGCCTCTACCGCTGCCATTTAACAAAGCATCGATCGAAATTAACTGTCACGAGAGAGTTGCACGATAACGACGACCGGCTTACGTTCCAAGCTGACATACCAACCGGACCGGTTCAGTCGGCGAACTAAACGCCGCGCTATCGATCAAGTTTCATTGCGTTCAGTATTTTCTAATGTGAGAGACGTACGGGGTTGTATGGCGTCAATTGTGACTGCCTCAACACGGGCGTCTCTCTAGTATATAATGTACCTGCTTTTTCTAGAACCGCAACCATACAGGCGTACGGCTCCCAAATGAGCAGGATATAGTATTGCCTAAATGATCGTATACGTACATAATATAGAGCAACACCGATAGTGCTACGGAAATAGCCTAAATTTGCGCCAAAGCAGCAATGCATGGCATTGTCGACTTCTATGAATGAGCTATGTAGGTGCGGGCGTCCATTTCACGATCGCATTGCATCTAAGTGCGGATGTGGCCGTTTGTCCGACTCGTGTTTACGCCGTAGTCCATATTTCGCAGAATCCGTTTGCCCGCACTATCCGGTTACGCCAACAAATAATTATGTCAGCGGTTCATTGTGATTAAAGGTTACCGGCTGCACGTTGAAACAAGTTAGTTGCAGGACTCAACAAGGACGAGAGTTTCCGTTCAAATATCAAGTGCTTAAGCACTACAAATAGAAACAAGTTACGTGAGCAGCTGGCCGATTCTATTAAGAAACTGCGAGTCAGGGACGTGGTTAAATAGGTTCATAAAAGTGCGCAATACTTTGTGAAAAATTTAGAACATTAGATAATATTTATCGCTCTGGCGACGATAAATTTATATATAAATGTGATCTTTTTACTACGTTTCCGCATAGCTGCGAAGCCGCTTATCGCTTACGCGTCGATCTAATTCGAGGATCAGCGCCTGTCGTCAAACACGCCTTGGTTACGTCTAAATCTAGGCGTAGGTAAGATTTCTGGCGCTATATTGAGCTACGTGAACACACCCTGCTTTTTACAAGAGAATATAAAAAAAAACCTCTCTATACTTTTTTAATAGATATAAAACCTTGGAGTTTCTTTCAAAATATGTAATCTGTATTCTACTCGAGTCTTTGGGAAAATAATAATAATATTTTTAAGCCACCCAGACCAACCTACACCCGCAAGTATTGCCCATTTAAAATTATATTTCCCTAATTTTGTTTGTAGATGTTGGGTAAGCAACAAAGTTGGAAGCTGTAATCGAATACAGATTATAGGCGTGAACGAGAGGGCACCCCGTAGGGTGAGAGGCGAAATAAAAAAGGAGTCTCTGTGTAAGAAGCTCTGGCAGAGTCAATTTTCACGTGACAATATTCTCCGTGGCGCCAACGCGATTAACGGTCGGCCCATAGTATTTGTTTCGAGTCCGCATGTATAGCGATATGGCGTTATTGTTGCGCTGCGCCGGCCGCCAGATCCGGTCTAGTGCATATCTATTATATCTCCATCATTCGAGACGCGATTCTCAGATCCACCGCCGTTCCAATTTTATACCAGAGATAATCCGCTTTTTATTGTTCGCCCGACCGACCGGTGTCTAAGTAGTGGGGTAAGAATCGCCAGCTCTCTCTTATACTTGCTCATATCATTCGGTGCTATGATACTGAGACGATGAACTTCGATTAAAGCTTAAATGCTGATGTTCGATTTGACCATAAACAATGAGCAAGCGTTCTCAGTTTTGCAGTAAGCCTGATTAGTCACAATTTCTAGGTAGGTCTAAGCTTCGCCGTGAGAAAAACAATGACTCATAGATTCAAATACCAACTCATTTGCCAGTGATCTCTGTGGATTGTTGTGATAAGGTTAACCTTATCACAATAATGAATTTGCAGCTTTTCCTTATAACTTTGAGTTTGAAAAAACTTTTTTGCGAAATACGTCATTATCGTTTGACTTTATTTACAAATAACTAAAAGTGGATTGTCAACTTTCGGAAGATATTTTGTATGATTTGTAACTTTTCGGTTTCAAAATTATGACAGTTCTAAACTCATCGAATTCGGACGACACAGACGTCATCTTTCTATCGTAAGTGCAACAGCGCCATTTTTTAGGAACTTGATTGGGATTAAATTTAGTTAGGCACTTAATACATTGATAAAATGACAGGATGTATACATCAACGCTTAGCCGCACACCGCATTGGTCACGAACTCACGATGTATGACATGTAGATTGAAATTTGGAGTCCTGTGAGATTAGCCGGTCGAAGTCATAGGTGTCAAAATAAACAGGTGTGAGGTTTGTAAATGGAATGCAATTGCCACAATGGTGTCGTCAAGTGTGACCTGATGAAGCGGGGGCCTAGTGCACGCTCCGCTGGCTACGGCTCGAGGCCAAGTTCACTGGCATTTGAGCGCGATAATTAAAAATTATCGTGACGTGCAGGCGGCGCACGCCATCTTACACAGCATGCTCGTAGTACTGGCTTAATTAGAAAAATAAATATAAAGCCGTTGTTATTCAACGCTATGGAAGCTATGTGTATATATTTTGTGATTATTATCTTTTTTCGTCATTTGCTAAGACATTTAGACTTTACAAATTGCATTTAATAGTTTGCTAATGCAGTACTTTCTGTTAGAATATTCGAAATAAAGAATCTCAATAAGCTATGTCTTGTAATCATCACTAACCTGTGTGTCTCATGATTTCCATTTTATTGTAATAGCATATTTAAGTGAATAATGTACAAAAAGTAACTTTTAATGTAATCTTAATACACAATACTTTAATTACACACTTATTATGTTAGGATGTAATTATTCTAGGTATTAGTATTTATGTAACTAATTTGTTTCTATATTCAACTCGAATTTGAATAATTATTAATTTTTTAAATTATTATTTTTAACAATTAATTATATGTGTTATTATTGACTTAACCTTCATTTAAATGTGTTTGTAGTTTTGTTGTTGGCTCAGGTCATGAATTTTCTCTAATACTTATTATCTGTTTTGTTATTTTAAAGACTGCCTCGATGGCGCAGTAGTAGTTTATGCGACTGCTATGCTGAGGTCTCGGGTTTGATTCCCGGATCGAACCAAATGTTTGAATGATCTGCAAATATTTGTTTCGGAGTTTGAATATTTTCTAGGTATAATATGTATGTATTCACAAAAAAAGAATATAAGTATTCTATCAGTCATACTAGCTTTCATAGTACAAGCTCTGCTTAGTTTGAAACTAGATGGCGTTGTGTGTACATGTCCGAAATATATTATTATTAAAGCTGTAATTAAAATTATATTGTTGTCTTCTCTTTCACTATCTTTCTCTTACAACTTGGGAACTTGGGAAACAGCATACTTAAAAGATAAATAAAATTATTTTAATAACCAAATTCCTCAATAATGTATATGCCACATGTAAAACATCGATCCATTGAAATCATTTCTGCATTACGCAACTTTAAAAACTCGGTCATATGTTCTGGTATCCAGTACAGGCGGCTAAAATAGACCATTGGTAATTTATCGCGTGTGGCGGCATCGATCCACCATCTTGGGTCGGCCTTGAACAATGTTCGCACGGAACGGACGGAAGTTCATGGACGCATATGCCTACATAATATATGTATGTGACGTAACATACATTTTTTTATAACCCAATTAACGAGAAACGCGTGTTATATTTCGTTAACATTACACATGGTGAATTCCAATGTCAATTTATTTGTCAGACAGACTTGCCTAAACGATTGTTATAAATTAAATTTACCCGCGAGCTCTAAGTGAAATAGTCAAGTATTTATTGTAGTGTGTTAAAATATTAACATAAGTGCTTACATGATTAGTTTTGAATACCCTACAAAACACGGAAAAAATATTTGTTTCATTTAACAGGCATTAATATTTTTGACACTTGTCAATGTTTATTAATACAATCAAAAATAAAAAAAATGCTGTGTTGCGGTCTACGTCATTTTTCTGTTGCCAGCAGCCACCACGCCCATCTGTGACCGAATAAGAAACCGGATCGAAATCATTTACTAGATGTGCTTGAGTGAATTCATAGACAGTTGTGTTGTCGTGTGTGTTTAGTACTCGCGGGAAACGCTACAAAAAGTATCTACAATGCAAACTTGTATGCACAGTGACGAATTTGGCAGTCTAATAAACATTTAATACGAAATTAAATTGCGCAATAGAAATGTAATAAAAACATATGCTGCTGCGTTGTACATCAACCATGTCACGTGTACCACAGACACATCACGTGTTATCTCAATATTTTAGGGGTCATTTTCGGGTGTGTATGATAAGAACTCATGATCCCGTACTAGTGGTTTATTAACTGCGGTTTGTGCGAGAGATGACTGATCTTTAGCACCTAAATTGGCTACGATTTCCGTGTTTGCGATTGCGATTGTTAAGATGTGAGCAAATAGCAACTTTAAAGAAGTAATCTTGTTGCGATGCCGTTATCAGTCGTCAGCGTGGCTTTAGTTTTTTTTTCGTGATAAGACAATACAAATTTATGTTAGGGTGTCACGTTGTAATAAGTACTATTGTTATCGGCATTGATAATGCGACGGTCGCGCGGAGACCAAGATGGCGGGCACTACGATCGCGATGTGAGCGTATCAACACATTCATACCGATTGTTTAAATATCTAAGTGCACATTCTGTACCGATAACGCCCAAGGTCCTTTCCACTATATACACGCATGGCGATCGACCAGTGAAATTGCTTTATCGCTTTTTGATAAAGGAGCTATTTAATATTTTCTGTTACACTGCCCTATTGGCCTACTGAAGCGATACACAATTTTATACGCTATTATTTATTACGTATGATTAATTATGTATATATTTTTAATTAAGAAATAAAACTTTTCAACTACTGGTAATCAATGGAGCGCGTTACGGACAGTGTATTGTTGTATTTTAATAATACTTTAGGACTTTAACGGTTAATTTTATATCTTTACACTTTTCTTATTCCCATTGCATGTATTTCAATTATTAAAATGACAATCTGTCTTTTGAACTACAAGCAAGTGTCACTGCCGTTGATTTAACACCGACATTAAATATAAATCGTACGTACAAGCGAATATAAGTTAGCGTCTATTATCGAGATCAAAGTGGGCTAGGCTTGGTGACTAGCCGTCGCAAGGCTAGTTTAAACCACCGCCGGTACTAGGACACTCCCGTGTACTATCACTTATAACGGACTTACATAGATATAATTACAAGGTCTAAAATCAAAGCATCTAGTACATTTCTATCAACATATAAATGAATAAAATAAAGAAAATTTATTGTCAACCAGACTTCGGCTGCGGATGCCGACTAATTAAAAATTAGTAAATAGGTCGCTATACATTTGTATAATTATGTATTAATACTAACTGCGTCCAACGGTTTTACTCGTGGTTGTTGTACATTTTGTCAATTTTGTCTTCCCACGGGAACACAAAAGTTTTTCGGGGTAAAAAGCGTATGTGCCATTCCAGACTATATTTAATTCTGATCCGTTTAGCCGTTTTTGCGTGAAAGAAAAACAAACATCCATACAAACTTTCGCCTTTTATAATATTTCATTGTAGGCTGTAGGTATATTATATTAACCGAGCAAATTGTTTTACTACGCGTTGGAGGCCTTTTGATTTATTATTTTAACGCTTGACGACACGATTATTACACGTACTTACTTTTTTAAAGTATTTATAGTTATAATATTTGCAAACATTACCATATAAAATATTTTCTTATAGTTAGGTAGTATAGCGGACCAAAAAAACCTCCTGTCTAAGAAGTGGCCTATGTCCAGCAGTGGACTATTAAAAACTGTTGATGATGATGATGATGATAGTTAAGTTATAAACAAAAATTCGCTATTAGGATTCGCTAATTGATACTTAAAAATTTTGGCAATGTAAATGTAAATTTTGTTTACATTTTAAAAAAAAACAACATTTTGTTAGAATGATTTAAGTGTAGGTACTAATAAATTTTTGATTTTTTTTTGGCACCTTAGGTATGTCTAAACTACTACACAGTGACTAAGAGCTTTAGAATAGTTGTAGGTTACCCAATGTTCAACATTGTACAACGTTTCCAACAAGTCTTTTGACATTGTAAGTTCTGCACTTATAAGTCATATAGAAGTAGACTAACATACATTCTAATCGTATAAATTGACGCGAAAATTTGACAACTTACTATGAAATTGGCGGTACGGTTTGGTGCGTGGCGTATCGTGTACTTGCGAGGCGATAAAAGCGCGCATGCGTAATAAATTTTTCGCGCCGAATATAATAGTGATGGGACAACGTACCTAAACAATCGACAATAACTTTTTGTCTTGTAATAGTTGTTGACAGAATAATTCTTTTTCTTTGTTAAAAGTTGTAATGTATGACTCATAAATAATTTTAAACATAATTATTGAGATCTAGTCAATCAAATTATCATCCGGTCAATCTGGACCTGGACTTGGGAGTACTGCGTTTCAAACCGGTCCAGCGAGCCGAGCAAGCTCCACTTCAATGAGATTCCATTTCATTCCGCCGCATTCTTAGACAAGTAACGGACTAGACACGAGATTGTCGAATGCGAAGCAGAACTACACTTTATTTATTTTATGAGATTTATAAGTATTTAAATATTGAATCTTCCTATATCGTTTTATTTTTACGAACAAAAATTGGCGCGCAACAAGTTAAAATGTAAATGTAAACACACGTTCTCTACCGTCCAAATTAAACATATGCCCAGCGCATCCTCACCCACTCCTGTCGACAGTATCTAAATTGCAACTATGTAGGTACAACGAATTACTAAAATGTTGTAGTTCTATTCCATTTATTACTCTCTAAAGTATTTATTTACCGCGGGACTACCATTAACAAAATTTTATACAAATTTATAGTTTTACCCAGTAAATAATGATAGAATTTAGTTAATACTAAAAACCATTAATATTTCAAAGATGAAACCAATCCAACAGCATAAAGCTAGTCGATCGAGATCGTTTTTGTTTAAATGAAGATGAAAGGATGATAACCCTATTAGTTGGCGGAGAGACCCTTGCAATTGGAGGATGAATCAAGGTCGGGACGTCTCGCGGTCGACGCACTCGCGTCCTTAACTCCGAAGTCCATTTGAAAGTGTGCCTGTTTGTGATCCGCAATTGAATGTTACTCAAAGACTATATTATACAGTACACTTTTACGAATTAAGAATCCCCATCATATAATACGGTTTATTTTAACATTGCGTAATCTGACATTAAGGAAGGTTGAGGCGTTCAAGGTCGCAATAGACGAAGGTTCCGGAAGAGCGGAAAAGCGGGTGCGTCTAGACGCAGCGGGGAATGCGGGATGGCGGTCGATATGCGCAGTTTCCCGCGCTTACAGTCAGCGCCTGCGTCCTTACGGCATTCCCGGTTAGCCCAAGTTGATAAAAACTTAAGAAACTATAAGACAATATTTTTAGCGAATATGCGGAAGTTATAGAAGCTTTCTTTACGGTCTAAAATCTCATGGTAAATAGAATCCGAATTAATTACTATTGAGGCCACAGTTAGTACATATTTCTATCACTTCCTAAAATATGACGGAATTGTATTTCGAACAAGTTTTTACAATGCTACTTTTACCATTATTTGAAAATAATATTTTTTCTGCAGGACTTCGAAAAAGTTAACGTTTTAAGAATTAAAAAAGTACTAACCTGATTCACCGGAGTCAGAGGGAGTTTGCACGCCAAGATTATCCATATTACGCCGTGACAATGTGTATGAGTGATCTGCTGCTACCACGGCCGAGTTACGCAAAAGACGAAGAGCTGTGCCAGCAACATCTACTGTGTGACGAAACTGTGGAGGTTCATCGCCGTCTATTGATGGTGGTGTATCGGGTCTGGACGGCGACATATCGCGTCGGAGCAAACTTTGTCCTGGCGTTGTAGGTGTTGTTATCGGATCAGATGGGACAAATGTATTGCTTGGGTTAATTGCGTCATCGCCCGCCCACATGCAATCATGGTTGATAATGTTCTCTGGCTGTATTTCTTCTTCGGGGTGTGCTATGACCCTCCAGATGTCATCACTGTCTTCAAATGGGTCTATATACTGGTAGTCAACGGGCGGCACTAGATCTATTCTGTCCGCTTCATACTGAACCTGATTCCAGAATTCTGAAGTTTGTGTCAATCTTAGAGAATCTTCATCTAAGGCATCCCATACGTCAAACTGAACGAACGCGTCGAACGGTGGCGACATTTTTATTTTATAACTAAAGACTAACTAGTTTTAAAGCTAAGTCGAACTCGTCGATATCACAGGACCCTCTTATCACAGGGAAGTTGCGCGCGAAGAGTACAACGCACGCAGTCTGTAACAAATTAACAGAAAGTGTTAATCACAATTAAAATCACCATTTATGCTTAATCTAAGTGTGTGTGTAGTAAGTATATAGTAAGTACACCAAATAAAGTAAATAAAGAAGTAAAATTTAAACAAAATATAGAAGAAAGTATTAAGTCATATAAAATAATATACGTATGTTCAGAAATATACATATTATTTATTGTAATTGTAACTCAAGTATAATAACAGCAATACCATTTACTTCGTTGAAGACAGTAAACTATTAAATATTTTAACTATAAATTGTAAACTATTGTTGTAAAATACTAAATAAAAGGAAATAAGTAAAATTTAACGTGCATGGTTGAAACCTAACGGAATATTAAGTTACAGAAAAATATTTTCTAAATGTTCATGGAAAAAATAAAAATGACTGCTGTTGTATTTGTAACTTGAGTGTAATAACAGCTGCATTAGGTACCTTATAATTCGTTGAAGGTTTTAAAGTATTAGAATTTAACTATGAAATCTGTAGGTAGGTACCAACACCATAAATAACGAAAAAAGTAAAATTAAAACTAAATAGTTGAAACTCAACTAAATAATAAATTTTTAAACTAATGTTAAGTTATATAAAAAGTTATATATGTATGTTCATGAAGAAATAAAAATATATGTTATCATTGTAACTTAAGTGTAATAACAGCAGTAATAAGGGACCTTTACTTCGTTGAAGGCGGTAAGCTATTAAAAAAATTAACTATAAAAATCAAATAAAAAGAAAGAAGTAAAATTTATACTAAAAGTTGAAACTAAAAAGTATAGTTTTAACTAAATGTTAAGTTACATAAAAATAATTTGTATATATTCATGAAGAAAAAAAACCATGTAATTGTATATTGAGTGTAGTAATAATGGGTACCTTTTAATTCGTTAAAGGCAGTAAACTATTACCAAGAACTAATAGCACTTATCCACATATCACCCTCTATTATCAAAATATTTTTCAGTCTTTAACACTTGTAACTGAGAATATTAACCTCTATATTTACAAACAAAGTCAATTAAATACAACACAAACTTAAAGCCGGTAAAAGTACGATAGACCGCGGCACACGAAACTAGAATAAATTCTGGATGCGTAATCGAACAATTTTAAAGACTAGTGTTTGTTATTTACAAACAAAGTCAATTAAAAAGAAAATATTAGTGAGGAGGAAGTGTCCACCACGGTGCCCGAAACTAGACTGAAGTCTGGATGCGAAACCGAACAATTTTAAAGAGTACATCGGCCTTGGGCCCTATCCCACTTTTATGGAATGACAATTACTCATTGTCCTGCCTACCACCCCCGCCGCTTTTGTTCTCCAGATTCTTTCTACCTGAACGAAAAAGGGCACATCACTAATCCCGCCAAGTTTCTGCGCGTATCGCATCGTAGGTACCGACCCAGGTAAAGATTGCTGTAAAACTGTTTTTGTTTACAAGCGGAGAATGGCGCGAAATGGGTGTTTACTAATAATAATGCAAATCGACGAATCAGTTTTAGCTAATTACAAACCACAATAGTGTGGTATTTTTGTAGATATTTCGATCATTTGCTAATCGACATACCTACTCTTACTAATTACGACACATACAATAGCTTTTCTTTTATTTGATATTTTTTAAACTTTTATTAAACTACAATTTTATTAAAACAGGTATTTTTTAAATAATATTTCTTAGAGAATTAATAATGTTTGTAATATGTATTACACAATAATAGATAATGTGTAAAAATGTATGTAACAAAAAGAATTCCGTATTAAAATTATTAAGCACAATTAATTAATACACTCAGAGAGCCAATCAAACACTTTTTTAAATATGCTTAATATTTATATCGTACATTATGTTTTAGAACTGCCACTAATTTGTTTATCTCAGAACTTTGTAATTGTATAAGATAACAAATATGCAGGAACACAACTATGACATAAATATTGCACAATAAACGCAAGCCGGCTAAAAATATTACTTACATTAACTATAATTAACCACAATTAACTAACTATAATTTACTGACTTAACATAACTACATAGGTACCTACCTACTTCGTATTTTAATGAATGATTAATTAATATTTTCCTTATTTCGTAAAATCATACATTTTATAAGTTTTTAAAGTTACAAACTGTCAGGTGTCTACTGTAAAACATTACTCCCACAAACTTTCTTTTAAATTATGGAATTATCTATGACTTTATTACACGTAAATAGAATCTTTTTTAATTTGTTGATTTTTTTTTTTAAATAGTGAATAAGAACTGCAAACTGATAGAAACTGAGATGCAGAACTATTTAGAAAACTTCGAAATTCGACAATTCGCAGAAAAACTCATTAAATGTTTATAGGTACCTAGGTAGCTTGGAGTTGCCGGTAACGCCCCGCGCGCACGGCCATATAGTACCCACACTTATATTTATAATTAGTTAAAACACTGAAGATTAGCGTTACATTATATAAAACAGAAAGTTCATAGAATTTTTTGTTTAGAAATTAATAATACTCACCAAAAAGTTTTGTGCTAAACGCAATCCGGCCACAGCCGGTGTATTACACAATTTTACACAAGATTCTTCAGAATCTTCTACAAAGTTTTTTCCGTACACACTGGGTAACACTCACTGAGAATATGCGATCGGTTATACAGTGTAAATTATTAAATACGATACTTCTACCGAGACCTCCGATTGAGTTTGTCAAACACTGAAACATTATTCGAGAGCCGGTCGGTTCTAAGTAGAGCCGCGCGTGCGATTCGATAGGCGCCGTGGACACGACTGGCTAGAAGAAGTATACGAATCGCGTTGTGAGTAGCGACTAGCGGTCGCCGCTCGCTGCGTTCGTTCGCGCCCGACGCGCTGTGACGCGGTGGGCATGGGCACCCCTCTCACTACCGCGTCCCGGTTAATTCGAAGTCATTCAAGAAATACTTTGAAAATACGTTTACTACTGAAGTAATTATTGACAGCAAGTACGCATCACTTTTCGGTAAGACAATGTACTATCACAGCTATAATTGTGTAGGTTTAGATCGAAAATTTGCCTAAGGAATTCGGTAACTGTGAGCAGCGTCTCGGGGGTAGAGGGTGGAGGGGCCGTTCGAAGAAGGAAATCAGCGCAGCGGCATTCAAAGAATATGAAAGTAGGTATGTGTTAGTGTGGTGTATTAGTGTGTGTACGGCGCGTTGAGTTGAATATCGAAGAGGCGAAACACCGGCTAGATATACGCGGTACGCCATAGCCTCACTCGCCGCACTCGCCGGCCGGCCTCGCTGGGAGGAGATCGCGTCGCGTTGTTTTTTAGCAGCTACAGATATCGAAGCCAGACGGTCAACATTCCAGAGACGGCGGATTATGGCGCGAAGCAGAAATGCCTTTGCGATTTTGATGAATTGATGCATATTACTTACAGGACACCTACACAGTAAACAATATTTACCGTAACAATGTTATACTGTGTGTGCGGTCCCATAGCTATCTGTGCCTGTAGGTTCTCTACAGGATTAGTCTTACAGTCGTACAATCGTATTATCATTAAACACAAGATTGTCATGTCATACACTTTTCATTAAGTAGGTTTACACTTAGACATAAAGTAAGATTTTATGTAACACAGACAAAACATCAACAAAATTATACCTATTATTATTCTGACACAAACAGACAAAGAATACAAACGGCAGACTTATGAAATAAAGAAGTATAAATTGTATTGGGTGTAATCAGTTTTAACTTGTTAACCCTGAATTGACGATCTTTGTTTGGTTGCTAAACTTAACGTAGGTAGTATAAGAAATTAATTTCTACCAACAAAATGTATCTAACTCGTTTACTAGGTTATTGAAAAAGGTCAACGGGTTAAAAAAATTAAACTAGGGCACAATCTGTCAACTGGTGAGGACTGAAAATATTGTTTTATTGTGTGTATTGTTAGCATATGCGATGTTGAGAACAAATAGGTAATCCCACGTTAACAACCCCACGGCCCCGCTACAAGGTTCAACGACCTCACATTCCTTGTATTGCATTCCCGTAGAAATAAAAATCGCAGCGACTTTGCGATCCTTACGACTAATAAAAGTCATTCTTTCTCTTTCGTTTATGATTTACACCATAAAATAACTTGGGATTTTAATTTCCTTCGATTTTATGGTATACTTGATAGCCTCATCCATCACTGCGCTCCTTTAAAACAAAATAGTACCTACATCGCATACTATTAGTATACACATAAATATATTGGTAATGATATTATATAAGCACCTACACATTTGTTAACGAAACTGATGTTTGATAAACCCTACACTCCTTAAACCAACAAAATAATGTCTTTAACACAAAAAAACAAACCATTAAAAATTAATCTAAAAACGCTTTCGGAGATGGTATAAAAATATTGCATTATATTTATACAATTCTGTCATATAATAACATTAAAAAAAACCTTCAAAATGAGATCAAGCTTGCCCCAATAACTGTAACCCTTTACCCGTGAGGCCCTTCAATTAATTTCACATTCATTCATCCCTTCCATATAAAAAATAGATAAGCAGGAAGCATAGAACGTGTACTTCCGAAAGCTAGCTGGGGCTGTCAAACAATACCACTTAACCCACAATTTTACAAATTCCCTTGCCCCTGTAAAAAAATATTGAATTTTGTACTTTATCTCTTTGGAAATAGATTAACCCTTTGAATATCGTATCAGAGGGGTAACATCAAAACCTGATATAATCCGGCCTCTGTCAAACTCATTTGTCTACGGTCTCTAATTGTCACGTTTTTACGACATGTCACTTCATTATTTTGACAAGTGAAACAGTCTCCAGTGATCAAAGTGTAGGTTTTTAAACAAACGTTTTATTAACTCCGTATGATTGAATATAATTGTTAGGGTTAATTTAATAACGCGTATCGTATTTTTGAAGTAGTGGCTTTGGTTACGGCCACATAAAAGTTGTTTATTGTTTTTTTTAACTGCTTATTATCAGCATTAGAGATACCTATAAGTGGTATGTGATCACTACTTAAGGTTAATTTATTAATGGTAATCATAAGCCAAACTGTGCGCTGTGTGTGGCAGCAGCTACCGACGTGGACAAAAAGTCAATATTTTTAATGATAATATTGTGAAACTATATGACGTCCTCCGGTATCTTCTGAGGATATCAAAAAGATTATCCTATCCATCCGCTCTAATCAAATCAAATCAAATCAAATCAAACTTTGTTTAGAATGTAGGTAAACATACAAATTAGATGTTGTGTAAGTAAAATAAGTTTCTGGTACATTCTGCCGTATGGCATACAAATTTTAAAATAATATTGTAATTTATTATTACTTACAAATATATACATATGTCTGGTATTTTATTATATATTGTAGGCCCCATACACAATACGCTTTTCCTTAGAAGTACAGTTTTGTATCCACCCGTCGATAACATGCTAGTGTATTGTGATCTTAACTGTGTTGATCGTTTTCTGCTGTCATTAAATAATGGACATAAATTTATTTATTTATTTATTGTGTATATATAAATGTCGGTTTAATTTTACAAACATTGCTATTGCCAAAATATATAAGCATGGAAAAGTTAATAATTTAAAATTTACCTTTCCCTCCCTTTGGCGTAAGGCTTATATCATTCCTCTTCCTAAAAAGAATACCCCTTCACTTCCTGAACACTTTAGACCCATTTCTAACTAAAGTGCTCAGGACGTCCGCGAACCGTTTCACATTTTAAAAACCATGTACACAGCTACCTTCTCGGAAATTAACTACTGGATAGTACACCTCCCTATTTATAGTGTACGAATATAAAGTTTATGTACGGGTATATGTGTGTATGTATATGTGTAATTGTATATGTTGTTAAAACTATATATATGCTACTATTACAACTGCAACCTCAGTGCACCTACCTCACCAGATTTCTACACCACCCAAAGATTGGCTGGTAGAGAATGCCCTGGCATTATGCCCGCCGATGCACAAAAGTGCATAAAGTTGTAAAATAAAAAAATAAAAAATAAATTTGCTCGTAATGATGATGATAACATTCAAATTATACTTAAACTATTACTTTGCTCATTACTACGGTACTTTACTAACGACTAATGTACTTTTGAGAAATCTAATTATACACAAGAAGGAGATTAAAATTAAGTAAAATGGCTTCCTATAGATGTATCGCCTTAGATTTCCTTTTAAAAGTAGGTATTGCTGTCCTAAGGGATATCACACTAAAGACTGAATCCCGTCAATTCTTTACAGCCGTTTAATATTTTAAAAGAAAGTCGAGTTGGTCAATGCTTCATTAAATAATTTGAGACTATAAATATATATTTATCCATTAACAATAACATTTCTCGACGTCACATATCATTAAAATACAAATCCTTATTACAAAAGCAATGTCACCCTCAAAAATTATTGTGTACATACGTGTGCGTTTCACTGCGTACGCGCTGGGTGGCTAACTAGCTATTTGTCACAACAGGAAGGGAGATTATCCTCATTATGTGTTAGAAAGTGTCGTTAATCCCTTTTTTACTTTGTGTTAAATATATGCATTATTGTAATGTGCTTGTAACTGTAAACGGAGATTACGAGCACTTAAATTTTTATAATATGCCTTAATTTACTAAAATTAAAAATAAACCGCATATCGATCGAAGAAGGGAACGCCACCGTAGTGAAGTAAGAATATTAAAAAAAAAACAAGAAAGTAAAATAACTTCGGGGTACAGGGACAACAATGCGGTTTGCAACAAGGTTTCCTCATGCAAAGCGACAAGTCGCCCGTGGAGGAAATGAAACTAAAAAACTGGTCTATAAGTTGACTGGCAGCACCGACAGAGCACAGTCAAAATAGAATGAGACATTGAGAAAGACAGATTTCAGCTATGTATAATAGTTACAAAAAGAGGATACATATTAGCGAAGTATAAAACCAAACGCCAAGGACATCACTGGCGCCAGTAGCGATAATGACCAGAGATATGCATTTTTTTATACCGTTTCGATTATACTTATCATTTCGATATAAGGTGCTTCAAATACCACCAATTTATCAAGCCAGGTAAGGCAGTGTTATAGCGTTGTCATTTGTATGAATGTTAACTATTATATCCGTTTTCACCCCTTCAACTTATAGAAATACACCTTGTGTATATTCCCACGACATCGAGAACTTCATAGATATCTTAAATTACAAATATGCATGTCTCTTGTAACTAGTACGAGTGCAGCTGCAAAATTTCGTAGGATCAGGTAATATTGTAACAAAGAAATGGTTTTTGTACTTTTACAAGCTACGGGTGGAGCAAGGATATTTAGTTTGAATGCCTGCATTGTTTCTAATGTGTTCTATTGTTGTTGATTCTTAGTTTCGCAGAAATATGTACTCCTAGTGTGGATGAAAAAAAAACTTGTTTTTAATTGATAAATGTAGTCTTTGGCAATGCGCAGTATTACATAGAAGGGCTAATCAGGATTTCTAGGAACAGAAATTAAATATCAAATATGGTTTTCCATTGTATTTGTTAATCAATACAATGAGAGGTAAATTTCTTTGTTAATTCCTAGAAAATGAGTAAGTATGCCATATCATACATAACGCGTTGTTTATACAAAATTTATACTAATTATCTAAAGCTGAAGAGTTTGTTTGTTTGTTTGGTTGAACGCGCTAATCTCAGGAACTGTATAACATCACGCCACAATCAAAAGGAGCCGAGCATCAGTCGAAAAATTATGCAAAATACTGGCCAATTTTATTTCTATAAGTACCCCTTCAAAAAAAGTATTGTTGGAAAAACATCAACTTTGACTGGTACATATACATCATAAATGTATTCATAATATACAGTGTAAAACATGAATGAATTTAATATAAATAAATTAGTTAAACAAACTACAGTACGGGCAATTCAATTGTTAAATAAATATCGCGAAATGTTACAAAAGTTCTGTCATTTTGATTACGTACGTTAAAATCATCTACGTATTGTAATTCAAGGACTGAATACCAAAACCAAACTCATTTCTAAACGATCTAACACACAGATTAATTGTGACACAGGAGTTTTGTGTAAAAACTATTAATCAACGGTATCATAGCACAAAAGGTAAAAAAGAAACTATCCGAGACATCTACGTCTGCGTACCTGTAATATTTCTTAGAACTGGATAGAGATTTTAAGCTAAAATATCAGTGAAAATAAGTTTCGTCGTTATACATTCCACATAAACAAATAATTACGCGTTAGCAAGAGGGTTTTTGGAGTTTATGTCTTTACTTTTCTTTGGCTCGGTAGGAGATGCTCCTAGCCAAACGGTAACCTAAAAGGTTGACAAATTGCAAAGGAAAGAAATTCTAGTCAGGTCAGTCTACGGA